CTGATTCTATAAAAACAGCCTATCCAGTAGGAGTTATGGGAAAAAAATTCAATGAAGATTCCACAAATATCCTGCCATCCATTCCCATTCCCACTCCCAGATCCCTTTTAGGAAACTGTGTTTAAATGTCTCGTTAAAATGCTGATTTATTTTTTTTTTCCCTGCTCCATTTAATTTTGTCATTTAGGTTCACTATGAATATTTATATTATTTTAATCTTTGGTCTGACATTCCAACAAAAATGAATTTTCCATCATCTTGGAATATTTCTGTTCTTCCAGTGTCCCATAAAGGGAGATCTGTGAGTGACTCTGAGGTCCCTCTAAACCTCCCTGGGACCAAGATTTTTTCTTTTTTTCTGTCTTATATGTGTAATTTTATTACACTATAACCAAAGGAAAATATCAATCTCTCCTCAGTACCAAAGGATGTGGTGTCAGCAGTTCTACTTTCCAAATAGAACTCTTAATGTGGAATATTAATCAGATTAATAATAATAATAATAGGAATAACAACAACAGGAACATTGATAAAATATTGCATTTTGGTAAAATTGACTGTAAAAGCAGTGAAGTTATAGCTATTTCAGTGTGACAAACATGCTGCATGCAAATCTTTAAATAAATTACTTTGGAAACTAAGGATTCACCTTGTCCCAATGTTCTCCTTTACAGACTGAAGAATTTGCCCTTCACTTTTACCAAACTCAAAGAACTGGCAGCCTTGTGGCTTTCTGACAACCAGGTAATGCCTTTCAATATTCCCATTTTCCTTAGGAAAGGGGCTGTCAATGAACCCTGTCACTCAATCCAAGATTTAGAAGAATTTTGGAAAGGTTTGCTCCCAGCCCAGCTGTAGATTTCCATATCCAGCCATAAATCCTGCCGGGTGTCACTTTTTACCACGGAAAAATCACTTTTGCAGGATTTAGTTTACCAGGATCAGCTCCTGCCTCCTTACCAAAGTAGTAAATAAAGGGCAAAAGTAGCAGGGGAGTATTTTTGAAGCAGAAATTCAAGATGTTCGTTCCCAAACTCGTTATTATCCTGTTCCCACCCTGTGCTCCATCTGCTCCTCTTCCCTTGGCTTCCTCTTCCCTTTTCCCACCCATTCTCCCATCCCTGCACATTCTGAGCTCCACTGCAGTCAGGGAGAGTTCAAACAAGTCAAAGCTGCACGAGGACTCTGGGTCCTGCTTTGGAGAAAACTCCTTTTTCTGTGCCTTTGGAATCTGAGGGGGCCCTGCTTTGTTCCAGGGCTCTGGTTTATAGCAGATATTCTTTGGGATTCTATTTTAAACCGAATTATGCAACAGGAACCCTGAGAAATGCAACGGTTCCAGCAGCAGCTGAGCCCTAAAATAAGTCTGAAATGTACATTTGGTTTTACAGCCGAGCCAAAAATGTGAAAGCTGAAAGGGTGGGGTAATGGAAAATTATGATTAAATTTTTATGTGTTAAATGAGGATTCTTGGGGGTTTTGCATTTGTGTTCCTGCAGAGCTGCAGCAGCCTGGGGCAACCTGGGCAGGGGGAGCTGGGACTGCCCCGCTGCCAGCGGTTCATGGGTTCTCATTCTGGTGTTGGTGTTATACTACTACTATTATTATTTTTATTTTTATTTTTATTTTATTTTTATTTTTATTTTTATTTTTATTTTTATTTTTATTTTTATTTTTATTTTTATTTTTATTTTTATTTTTATTTTTATTTTTATTATATTGTTATTGTTATTAGTGTTGTTATTGTTGTTGTTATTATTGCTATTAACATTATCCCATTATTATCCTATTATTGTTGTTGTTATTTTATTANTGCCCCCACAAATGGATTCCAGCTGCTGGTGGAATTGTCTGCGTGTGCAAGAGGTGCTCGGTGCTCAGACTGAGCAGTAAATCCACGGAAAGTTTGGAATATCCCTGTGAGGAACCCCAAGCGCTCCCTGAGGTTCCTGCCAGCAGAAAACTATAATTTTCTCTTGAATTTTGGATTTCCTGCCTTTTGTGGCTTTCAGTAAAACCCATTTTAGGCGCCTCCCAACACAAAAAGTGATAATAAACGTTCCCAGTTTTGGGGTTCCATCCTTTGGGCTTTTCCATTCCCACAGATTGGGAGCTGTAAGAACGTGACTGTGATGTCCCTGCGCTCCAACAAACTGGAATTTCTGCCTGATGAGATTGGCCAGATGCAGAAACTGAGGGTGTTAAATCTGAGTGATAACAGGTACAGTTCACAGCACTTTATTTTTAGCCAATTTATGAATTTTTTTTTTAATTTAAACTTTTCCTTTGAGGTCTTTATAAAGATGCATTTCTCTAAAATATATTTTAAAAGTTAAAAAATATTTTTACAATTCTAGTTTAAAAATAATATCATTATAGTTTAATTTATTTAAGCTATAAGGAAAGAATCTTGGGGTTTTTTTTTCCTTAATCTTTGTGGCTTGGTCTCAGCTCCTTTGACATCCAAGGGAAAACTTCAAAAAAACTGAATAAGGCCAAAATCTGGATCTTGGTGGTTTTTAATAGCTTCAAACCCATTTCTTTCTTTTATTTCCTGCTGTTTCCATGCAAAAAAAAAAAATATTGTCTATAGGTTTGTAATATTTAATGATTTAAAAGCTGATACCCAGGGAACCAGGAAACAAAAATTAGTTATCTTGCATCCACAGAAATCCGAGGAACATTTTTCATTTCCTCCAGCAGAGTTGGTTTTTTTTGTCAAACCCCAGATTCATTTTTCCTTATGCACACGCCTGTGCTTAGATGAGAAACAAAATGCTTCAAATGAGCTGTTCTTGATCCCTGTCCTGTGCTGCCACAGGCACATGGAAAATCTGAATTTCCTTGGGATTTATCCATGTGGATGTGCCAGGAGTGTGGTGATTTGCAGTGTCAGCACAGCAGATGTGGGGGGTGAATTCCATTTTCTCTCCACTTGCCAGCCACACTCAGCAAAAATGAGGGAAGGATTTCCCAGCCCAGTTTCATTGCTGAGATTCAGGCTGAACGTATAAATAAAGCCATGGAGAAGCCCCTGGAATATTGTTAATAATGTTTAAAATTCCCTCATTCAGTTCCATTCTGTCCTGCATTGCAATTCCAGGGCACAAATTCCATCCTGTCCCAAATCCAGTGGATGTCCAGGGAGATGTCCCCAGGGCTGGTCCCTCCTCTGCCCCGTGGGGACACAAAGGAGGGGACACAAGGCCGAGGACTGATCCAGGGTTTCCTGGGAGCCAGGAATGCAGGGAACCTTCCCTGGCACATTAAACCACCCTGAGCAGGGTCACTGCTCCCTTTCCCAACCCGGAATCCTGCCGGGGGTCTGAGCTGGGGGAGCAGGAAACTGTTGGGAGGTATTTGGGGATTTTTCCCTTTTTCCTCCCCAGTGATTTTCCTGCTGGTCCCAGGGCCATCCCTGGTGTGCAGGGACTGGCTGGGTGGGACAGGGGCAGGCAGGGCTCCCCCCCTTGCTGGGTCCCAGCAGAATTCCAGCCCCCTGCCCAGCTGGGAGGGGAAGGAGATGATGGAACCAGCATCCCAGTGGTGTGGAGTGGGATGTGGTGATCCTTGGGGTGGGATGTGGTGCTTGTTCCATGGGGTGAAATGTGATGTTCCGTGGGGTGGGATGTG